GTATTGTGTATGTATATATTTATTGTCTTTATTTTGGGGTTTTCATGCATGTTTGTGTCTTGGGGTGTTCACTTATTTCTCCTTCTTTAAAATACATAATATTGAAAGCAGTTATTCTTTTGTATTGTTTTTATTGATTACTGACAACAGCTCCAGTAGATGAACCTAACTTTCTGGTATTATATGCCATCTAGTCCTTTACCTGCATTAAATAGTGTTACAATTACACATGAACAAAATCAAATATCAGATGTGGCCAGGGTTAACTCCCCACTGAACAGAATAGCCACCAAGAAAAGCAGGCAGGATGGCGCCTGAAATCCTACATATGGGCCACAAGTGCAGGTTTCCTCATGTTGAGCTACTCCTGATCAAGAGATGATGGTGATTATGAAGCCAGAAGCTTCTTACCTGGGCTCAGGGAAGAAAAGAACTGGACAGTTCAGTGCCCAGAGTGCTAATTTCAGGTTAAATGTTTTCAATTTATTTGTAAATCAAGGTCCCAGAGTCTGGAGGAAGACAAAAAATTAGAATCCACAGTGATTTAAGTCTGATCTGAAGCTTCCATTTAGTTATGAGTGTGGAGCCATGTCGTTAACTGGTTTTGGTCCTCTTGGTTTTATGAAGTACATGCAGCCATCTTTTAGGACATGTTGAGGAACATCATGCCTCCTCTTGCTCACAGCCTTTACAGTGGTGCTGATTTAATTTTTCAGCAGAACTTGGTAGCAGCCCTTAAAAAACAATGCTTTTATTGTGCTTGTTTGTCCACCAAATTGGCCTTTTCAGAAGCCCAATATTGTCTAGAAAATGAAGCGCCACACACAACAATGTAGATGAGCTGAAAGACTTCATCATGCCTCCGTTTAAGCTAAGATCATCCAAATAAGAAAAGACTTGAGATCAATTTTGATGTAGTAAATTATTTTTTTTCTTTAAGACAAGTGATGAAGAAAGCATAGTGTTCAAAAAAGCTAATTTGTGAAATGTGCATGTCTTTTGTTTGGGAAATTGTATTTAGTCTGGCATATTGAAAAGACTTAAAACTGTTTTTTTTTAGGTCCCGTGGAAAGTTTCGGAAAGATCCCATGGACTGATGAGGAGAAAATGGCTATTCAGCAATTTATGACCAGCTTTGTGGCGATGCGGAAAGTGTCAGGAAAATACGAATGCATCATGTGCATTAAAAAATCATCTCCTGCTCTTCAGCGGAGGACCTGGATAGATGTGAAATACTTTGTGCACAATGAGATCTTAAAGATAAAAGACAGTTAAACAGTTAAGTGATGTTACTGTTCAATAAAGTTCTGTTTACTATAGCTTCCGATTTTACATTATTCTATGAATCAGGTATTTCACAGGTTTAAATAATAAAGCTGTTCCATAAAGAGGCCATCATAACTTTGCTTTAGAATATTTTAGTTTATGGCACATTTTATTTTAAATTTTTATTTTTTTAAAGAAAACAGTTTAAAAGCTTTAGCTTTTATACAATGTTTAATGTTGCAGAGATGTTTTACAATTGTTAGTATCTGCTCATGTTTATATACATTCTTTGTTTATAGAATAAACATTGTTCAAAGTAATACGGATTATTTTATTAAAATTATTAAAATATCAGGGTAATGAATGACCCACAACCTCAATCTTTCATTTTTAGAATCTTTAGTAGACATAGACATAGACTTCCTTTATTGTCATTGTCAAAAACACGAGGTGAATTTGACAACGAAATGTCAATTTCTTGGCTACCAGAGTAAAATTTAGCACGGTATTTGTGTATTCTTCAGTGTATTAATCAGTACAACCTAAAAAAACAATTATTTTCAAATATTGAGTACATTTGCTTCTCAGTCTCTTAACATGTGTTAAAAAAAAAAGTTGGTTCTCACTCTGGCGGTATAAAACTTTTTTTGCTTTTTTTACTTCTGCGAATTCAAAAGTAGTGTATTGTGTGCGGGTGACATCTAGTGGGGAAAATTCAAAACTCAATCTTTCTAAGTAGCTCAGAACCACCGGTCCTCAGTTAGTGACTAATTTTACTCGGTCCTCGGTCTGTGGTTCTTACAAGAATGTGTGTTTGTGTGTGTGTTAGTTCTGTCAGTGTTTCTGTCCCTGCTCCAGACTTACAGGGAGCACAGCAGAGAAGACCCTCAGCTGGAGACTAGGGATGCAATGGTTAATCGACTTTAGATTAATTGTCGATAAAGAAGTTGCTTGATCAAAATGTATTGATCACGATTAACCGCTAGAGGGTGCTAGCGCTTTACTGTAACTTGAACACAGCGTGAGAACGAGAACACGCCTCGTGTCGAGAGAGAGACCAGGGTTGAAAACAAAATGAAGCGGGCGAAAAGAAGTGCGGTGTGGGACCACTTCAATATTGTTAATTCAGGCAAAGAAGTCAAATGTTCTCTTTGTAATGCGGTATTGAAATACAACAGTTCCACTAGCTCACTCAGTTATCATTTGA